CTATTGAGAATAAGCAGCTAAATCCTGGGTAACTCACCTGTACCACAAAAGAATTCTTAGGAATAGTCATGCCAGATATATAAAATGTAAGCAAGTCAGGTAGATAAGTAAATTCTAAGAGAATACATAGAAAGTACCCTTGCTTTCAGGGTAAATTATAAAGTGCTAACCACGTAGGAAACAAAATACCACCAGTACATCTACTAGCACCTTGATATCTCCAATCCACGAACTTCTTTTCTAATCACCAAATAAATCATACATTATACTCCAGTCTCTGTACAAGTTTGCCAATAACTAATAATTACAATTATAATTAGGATTAATGTGAACTCTCATGAACTCAATAAAATGTTCTTTTTATATATAGTAAAGTCTTTTGAGAATGCAGTAATTAAAAGTTGAGGGCACCTGGGTGGCTCAGTCCATTAAGTGCCCGACTCCTAATTTCGGCTCCGGTCATGACCTCATGGTTTGTGGGATTCAGCCCTGCATCGGGCTCCACGTTGACAGCATGGAGCCTACTTAGGATTCTCTCTCTCTCTCCCCTCCCATGCTCATGTTCTCTCTCTCTCTCAAAATAAATAAACTTTAAAAAATAAATAAAAGTTGAAGTGTTAGCAAGTACGCCTAAGAAAACATAGATACTCACCTAAGATTCTCAGAACTCAGACATAAGAAGACTTATTTCCCTTTTATTTTTATTAATTTCCTCAATAGATTAAAAAAGAGGGGCTTCTTCTCCACATACTCACCTCCCAGAATAAAAAACAACCAATTCTAATGACCTACTAAGACAGGAGGGTAAGAGTTATTTTTTTAGGTTTATCTATTTATTTTGAGAGAGAGTGACAGACAGACAGTCAGACAGCATGAGCAGGGGGTAGGGGCAGAAAGAGAGGGAGAGCGAGCGAATCCCAAGCAGGCTCTGCACTGTCAGTGCAGAGCTCTATGTGGGGCTTGATCTCATGAACCATGAAATCATGACCCCAGCGGAAATCAAGAGTCCAATGCTTACCTGACGGAGCTACCCAAGTGCTCTGAAAGTGGTTTTTAAGGTTTCTATAGTAAGTTAAAATACTAGTGTTACGCAAGTGAGATCTTTGTGATGACAGAATAGTTCTATATCTTAATTTCAATGGCAGTTACATGAAACTACACATGTGATAAAGTGGCAAGAACTATGCACACACGTTGTACCAATATCAATCCTGGTTTTAATATTATACTTATTATGTAAAAGATCTACATGGGAGAAACTGGGTGAAGGGTACATAGGACCTCTCTGTACTATCTTTGCAACTCCTTATGAATCTATAATTATAGGCACACCTCAGAGATATTTCAGGTTCAGTTCTAGTCTGCCACTATAAAGCAATTATGACAATATAGCTCAAGTCAGATAAAATTTTTTTTGATTCTCAGTGCACATAAAAATTGTGTCTACCAAACTATAGTCTATTAAGGGTGCAACAGCATTATGTCTAAAAACAAACTATACACAAAGGTATCTTAATTAAAAAATACTTTTGCTAAAAACTGCTAACCATCATCTGAGCTTTCAGCAAGTCATAATCTTTTTGCTGGCGCAGAGCCTGGCCTCCAAGTTGATGGCTAATAACTGATCAGGATGGTGGCTGATGAAGGTTGGGGTGGCTATGGCAATTTCTTAAAATACGAAACTATAAATTGCTGCACTGACTGACTCTTTTACAAATAATTTCTCTGTAGCATGCCATTCTGTTTAACAGCATTTTACCCACAGAAGAACTTCTTACAAGTTTGGAGTCAATCCTCTCAAACCCTGCTGCTTCTTTATCAACTCAGTTTATGTAATAATCTAAATCCTTGTTGTCACTTCAAAACTCTTCACAGCGTCTTCACCAGAAATAGATTCCTTCTCAAGAATCCACTCTTTGCTCATCCCTAAGAAGCAACTCATCCATTAAAGTTTGATCATGAGATTGCAGCAATTCAGTCCCGTCTTCAGGCTCCATTTTTAATTCCAGTTCTCTTGCTATTTCCATTACACCTGCAGTTATTTCCTCCAGTGAAATCTTAAACTCCTCAAGTCATCCATGAGTTGGAAGCAACTCTTCCAAACTCCTCTTCATGTTGATATTTCAACCTCTTCCTGTCAATCATGAATATTCTTAATGGTATCTAGAACGGTGAATCCTTTTCAAAAGGTTTTCAATTTTCCCAGATCCACCAGAGGAATCATTACCTATGGCAGCTATTATAGTCTTACAACATGTATTTCTTAAATAATATGACTTGAAAGTCAAAAGGACTCTTTGATCCAAAGGCTGCAAATTTGAATATTGTGCTAATAGGCATGGAAATATGAAATTCACTGTACATCTCCATCAGAGCTCTTGGGTGACCAGGTGCATTGTCAATGAGCCCCCACATTTTGCAAGAACCCTCTTTTTCTTAGCAGTAGGTCTCAATAGTGAGCTTAAAATATTCAGTAAACCATGTTGTAACCAGATGCACTGTCATCCGGACTTTGTTGTGCCACTGATAGAGCACAGGCAAAGTAGATTTAGCATAGTTCTTAAGGGCCCTAGAATTTTCAAAATGGTAAATGAGCATTGGCTTCAACTTAAAGTTACCAGTTGTAAATGGCCCTTAAGTAGAATATCAGCCTGTCCTTTTAAGTTTTGAAGCCAGGCATTGACTTCTCCTCTCCAGTTATGAAAGTCCTAGATGTCACCTTCTTTCAATAGAAGGCTGTTTGATCTACTTTGAAAATCTGTTCTTTAGCGTAGCCATCTTCATTACTTATCTTAGCTAGATCTTCTGCATAACTTGCTATAGCTTCTACATCAGCACCTGCTGCTTCACCTTGCGCTTTTATGTTATGGAGATGGCTTCTTTTCTTAAACCTCATGAACCAACCTCTGTTAGCTTCAAACTTTTCTTCTGCAGCTTCCTCTTCTCTCTCAGACTTCACAGAATTGAAGAGCGTGAGGGCCTTGCTCTGGATTAGGTTTTGGCTTAAGGAGATATTGTGGCTGATTTAATCTCCTATCCAAACCACTGAAACGTTCTCTGTATCAAAAATAAGCTGTTGTGGGGGTGCCTAGGTGGGTCAGTCGGTTGAGCGTCCAACTTTGGCTCAGGTCATGATCTCACAGCTTGTGAGTTCGAGCCCCGCATCCTGTGTCAGGCTCTGTGCTGACAGCTCGGAGCCTGAAGCCTGCTTCAGATTCTGTGCCTCCCTCTCCCTCTGCCCCAGCCCACTCGCATTCTGTCTCTGTCTCAAAAAATAAACATTAAAAATAATAATAATAAGCTGGGTTTTTTTTCTTATCATCAGTGTGTTCATGGGAACAGCACTTCTAATTTCCTTGAAGGATTTTTCCTTTGCATCACAACTTGGCTAACTGGTGCAGGAGGCCTAGCTTTCAGTCTACCTTGGGTTTCTACATGCCTTCCTCACTAAGCTGAATCATTTCTAACTTCTGACTTAAAGTGACAGACATACAGCTCTTCCTTTCACTTAACACTCAGAGGCCACTGCAGGGTTATTAATTGGCCTAATTTCAATATCTTTGTGTTTTAGAGAACAGGGAGGCCCAGGAAGAGGGGGAGTGACAGGAAAACAGCTGGTTGGTGAATACACACAACATTTATCAATTAAGTTTGCCATCTTATATGGGCAGTGTGTGGCACCCCGAAACAATTACAAAAGTAACATCACAGATCAGTGGTCACAAGTCACCATAACAAATACAATAATGAAAAAGTTGCAAATATTGTGAAAATTACCAAAATGTGACACAGAGACATGAAGTGAGCAAATGCTGCTGGAAAAACAGCCCTGACAGACTGGCCTGATGCAAAGTTGCCACAAACCTCAATTTGTAAAAAATGCAATATTTGCAAAGTGCAATAAAGCACATGCAATAAAATGAGGTACGCCTATTATTTAAAAATGAAAGTTGACGGGGCGCCTGGGTGGCGCAGTCGGTTAAGCGTCCGACTTCAGCCAGGTCACGATCTCGCGGTCCGTGAGTTCGAGCCCCGCGTCAGGCTCTGGGCTGATGGCTCAGAGCCTGGAGCCTGTTTCCGATTCTGTGTCTCCCTCTCTCTCTGCCCCTCCCCCTTTCATGCTCTGTCTCTCTCTGTCCCAAAAATAAATAAACGTTGAAAAAAAAATTAAAAAAAAAAAAAATAAAAATAAAAGTTGATAAAAGAAACACTCTCTGTGGCAAAAATAAACATATGTTAAGTCTGAGCCATTATGAGTTCAGCTATGTCAAAAATATATACATATGAAAAAATTAGATTCTATGTAGAAAAATATGGTCAGTTGTGGCAAAAGAGTTAAGAAGGGATAGGCTATTTTAAATAAAATGATCAGTTACTACATAGAAACCATGCAAGTTATCATCAGTTGATGATTTGAGGGTATCAGATTCATCCTTCCATATAATTTTACTTTGCCTTATATTAAAATCCATTTATTTTTCTAAAGCTCACAACTTGAATAAAGTAGGGAAGAGCCCTAAAGTACTAGTAAATGAAAAGTGAAGCCATTTGACATTAAAAAATAACAACAAAGTGATAATTTACCCAAGATTGTAAATTATTCCCTTTTGGTGAATATTATTGGTTCTCTTCCAAACAGCCCAGGGGATATCTTGAAGGGATTAACAAAGTATCTTTTAAGTGTGTTACATGAAAAGAATAAACTACTGGCCATGTGGATATGTATGTTTGGAGATTTATAGGACTGGATAAGATGAATATTCAGGTTGTCATTTTCAAAAGAGTCCACCAAAATTTTATATATTTTCCCCTTCCATAAACATGAAAAATTTATAAAATATTTCTCTTCATCTCTAAAAACAATAGAGTACAATTGTATGGGATCACATAAATAGCAAACAGCAGAAAAAAAAAAAACAAGACTGAGATTCTTGGAAAAACTCACATACATATACAAAACCTCTTAATATGGTTAAATTAAAAGCTTCTAACTTAAAGAGCTACCTATACCATACACAGAAGCTAACACACTGTATCAACCCTATAAAGAGTAATAATTCATCTCTAAGCCCCTACCATGACTCACTTTCACATTACCTGATAATTGTCACTGACAAACACATTCAGGGGTGACAGGACAAGTTGCAGCATGGTCTCCCTAAATCCTTTTTTCATTTCAAAACACAGTCTTTCCAAGAATGCTGTAGGGCACTCAGGACCATCAGTGGTTCCATGCTAAAGTCAAACAAAATACCATAATCAAGATATGGAAAAAATAAAGACCAAGGCAGTATAGGGAAATAAAAATCACACTTATATAATTAAGAAATTTTGATTCTTAAAAAGCAGAAGTTTACTGACAAAACTGTTCTGTACTCTACTAAGATCATTAGGTTCACTAAGCACCAGAGATGACTCCTCTGCTGTGCAACCGTAGGTACATGACATGGAGCCAGTAGGCAGCACAATTCTCTAGGGCCTCACCCTCCCTATCTGGCCTCACTCCAACAACCCTGGGTTCTCTGGGCAATATAATCCCATTGCAAGTCAGCCCCAAAAGTCCATGGGTCACCCTTAGACTGAACCAGGATTCTGTGCTGGATCCAAACCCCAGAAAACAATTCAATCTCCAGGGTCAATCTGCATCTTGATTTTGTAGTAAGTTCACCATAAGGCACCCAATGGTCTAGAGTTGGAGATAAAGGATAAGACAACATAAATCCTAGAATATCCGTTGAGCTAACTATAAACCCAGCAACTCAACATCGTGACAAAATGTTCTAACGTGACACAGAACAGCAAAGAAGGAACTAAAGTGAAAGAAGAGAAACAGAAAATTATCAATGATTAAGTAATCACATTATGAAGAAAATAATAAACTAGCTTTATAAGGTAAAAGGATAAATTTTAAAGTTTTTGAATCTGAATTTTTTTATTAGTGTGTGCATGTGTGTACACACACATATAGTTAGTTGTCTGAGTTGGGTGAATTTCATAATACACTCCAGATTATTTTGATTATGTAAACACTTACAACAGGAAGACGCCCATGAACTTTGTACAAATTAACAAGTACAGTAATATCCCAAGGACGCAAGGTAAGCGGATGAATTGATTTGGCTGAACTTTCATTTTCCTTTCTGTCATTTTCCATTCCAACAGCAGTCCACCCAGAGCTGGATGATGTTGACAGTGACAGAACAGGACTTGAAATAACCTCTTCAAAATCCATATACATGTCATCTTCCCCAAAGTAGTTTTCCTATAAATATTAAGAACAAATTGCTATCAAAGAGATATGTAACAGTAACTTTTCAAATTAGAGCCTGAATTTTGTAAACTAAGCATCTCCCTATTTTCTTTGGTTAAAAGTATATGGTCTGTTTCCTTGAAAGGAAAAAAAAAAAAGAGAGAGAGAGAGATACATATGCTTATGACATACACCTACTTAGCTACTTAGCAAATAAACATTCTGTAACAACAAATAAATAAATAAATAACCTAAGTTTATAGTAAAGCTTCATGACAAACCACCTCCAATTATAGCAAAAACTCTAAGAAAACTTTGAAGATGTGTAAGGTTCAAAAGTTTTCAATCTTTCTCAGAGTTCTGAGACAACAATACCCAAAAGACATCCTTTGAAGGAAGATCAATTCACTGAAAATCAATCTAAATCCAATTAGCTAACTACCACAACGCATATATTCTGGGTGAAATAATATCAAAAGTGCTTTTAACAACCTGAATAGGAATGTCCAATTTTGGTTCCTGATGATAAAAACATGTTATTGATGGTTACCAAAACTTCCTTTCACATAGTTTATCCTGGTTCCTTATGCAAAGTATTTTAACTATTAATATCTTGGTTCGTTTTACACCAGTTTTAAATTTATTATTATTTTCCTTTTTAAAAAAACATTTTATTTAGGAGTGCCTGGGTGGCTCAGTCTGTTGAGTGTCTGACTCCTGATTTCAGCTCAGTTCATAATCTCACAGTTTGTGGGATCAAGCTCCACATTGGGCTCCATGCTGACAGCTCAGAGCCTACTTGGGACTCTCTTCTCTCTCCCTCTCTCTCTCTCTTCCCTTCCCCCACTCACTCTGTTTTTTGTTTCTCTCAAAATAAATAAACTTAAAAATAAAAAACCTTTTCATTTAAATTCCAAATAACATACAGTGTCATATTAGTTTCAGATGTACAATATAGTGATTCAACACTTCCATACAACACGTAGTGGTGCTTGTCACAAGTGCCCTCTTTAATCCCCTTCACCTATCTCACTCATATCCCTCCCACCTGCATGCCTCCCCTCTGGTAACCATCAGTTTGTTCTCTGTAATTAAGAGTCTTTTTCTTGGTTTGACTCTCTCTCTTTTCCCTTTGCTTATTTGTTTCTTAAATTCCACATATGAGTGAAATCATATGGTATTTGTCTCTCTGACTTTAATTTTTTTTCAATGTTTTTATTTTTGAGAGAGAGAGAGAGCTAGAGAGAGAGAGAGAGAAGGGGGGGCAGACATGGGGAGGCATAGAAATAGAGGGAGACACAGAATCTGAAGCAGACTCTAGGCTCTAAGCCACCAGCACAGAGCCTGATGCTGGGCCTGAACTCATGAACCGTGAGATTCATGACCTGAGCCAAAGTCAGAAGCTCAACTGACTGAGCCACCCAGGTGCCCCTCTACCTGATGTACTTTAAATGAAATTCTTTTATCTTACCATTATTCTGCATTTAAATTTGACCAATTCGATCTGTCAGCAGCAATCAAAAGTTGTTAAAATATTCCTGTTAGCACAGTTAACTATATTTCTTGAACATTAGAAATCAAGTCAGTATTTTGATAAATTCTGCATTTTACTTATTGACATTTATTTTCTGACTAGTCAATTAATCAGGCCAATTAAATAGCTTTTAATAGGAAAGAATGTTGCAGGGCATATAGTCATTTGGTTAATTAGTGGCAGGACTAATATTAAAATCCCAAAGCTACTGACTCACAAAACTAATGTTTTTTTGCTGCATTCTCTATCGTTATCTGCCTCTAAATAATACAGGTCCTACTTAGAACCTGCTTGACATCTTGATACTTGCCTTTATTATGTAACTCTGAACCATGGACAAACTCAAGCACAAATATAAATGTAAATCAACATTGGTTTTTATCCTAAATTCCAACATTAAAATTTTTAAATGAAAAATAAATGTCTAATTGATTTTTTTTTAATGTTTTTATTTATTTTTGAGAGAGACAGAGCACCAGCAGGGGAGGGGCAGAGAGAGAGGGTGATACAGAATTTGAAGCAGGCTCCAGGCTCTGAGCTGTTAGTCCAGAGCCTGACATGAGGCTTGAATTCATGAACTGTGAGATCATGACCTGAGCCCAAGTCAGATGCTTAACCGACTGAGTCACCCAGGCGCCCCTAATTGATTTCAATCAACATTAAAGATCTAGAGGTATTCAGAGCCACAGTCTTCCCTTAGATCATTTGAGAAGGCTTTTCAAAATATACATTCCATTCCAGTCCTGGAGATGGGTTCAGTAGGTTTGCAACAGGTATACATTCCAGAGACAGATGGAAAGAATGGTTTCTTCAGTGAATTTAACTATAAATGGCCACTAGACCCAATCACTTCTATTCCACCCTTCCTCCACACAACTTATCAATGGAGTCAGTGTACAGTTGTTCACGTTTATTAGCTTTCAACATACTAAGAGTTTCCAACAAATCAACAGAAATAAGTTATGCTCATTTTAGCCAATTTTTAATAATCCTACTCTATATATCTTATTTTTAAAAGATTCCCTAGTAGTCTCTTACAGTCTCTTGTAATTTTTAACCTTAAAAAAAGAAAATTACTATAGATTATTAAAATTAAAAGAAAAATATTCTCTTGGGCCTAATGTTCAATTTGCTAACAAACCAATCTCCATTTAATTATCTAAAACAGAAATAACTCATAGCAAATTCTTTAGGGAATACTGAAATCCCTAACATGGTAGAGGACATTTGCTAATTTTTATTAAATATGCCAATGACTGTTTTGAGAGTTAAAACACTCTAGGAGTCTTTTATGAGTTATCATGTCTGAACCTATTGAATATTATTGACAAAATTACTGTTAAGGGGCACCTGCGTGACTCAGTCTGTTGAGCATCTGACTCTTGATTTTGGCTCAGGTCATGATCTCATGATCTTCATGATTTATGGATCTCATGGTTCATGGGTTCGAGCCCTGCATAGGGCTCCATGCTGACAGTGCAGAGGCTGCTTGGGATTTCCTCTCTTTCCCTCTCTCCGTCCCTCCCACATTCGTTCTCTCCCTCTCTCTTTCTCTCTCTCTCAAAATAAATAATTTTTTTTAAAAATTTTAAAAATTAAAGATAGTGATAAAATTATAACTCCTTTAAAACATTAGCCTTGTGTTAAATGTTTAATGTTGAGTGTGTGATTGAAGTTTTATTTGTTTTCATTGTAGGTTTTTGTTTTGTTTTGTTTTCAGTATATGAACTCCATCTGTAAGGGTTAATTTCTTAAGGATTCACTAAAAAAAAATTACCAAAAGGCTGACTGAAGTATAAGTAGTAATATATTATGGCAAACTTTTATAGTATTTTAAGATTAATAAATGTACACAAATATTTACAAAGACAAATAAAAATTCCATTTCGATGTTATGGTAAGTGGCATGCAAAACTGAACTATCTTTAAAACTATCTTTAAAACAACACTAGGAAAAAAACAAAACAAAACAATGACTTACCTAACTGGGAAAATATATTACTTTGCCAAGTTTGTGGCATGAATGAATTTAAAAATGATAAAATAAGCTATATTTTCAAACTACTTAAGAGTCCTATGAAATTTTATTTTCCTAGAGATAGTTTATTATTAGTGTCAAATAACTATTGCAAGTAACAGGACACTACCATTTTTTCCCCAGCCTAAACATTCGTATTTATGTAATGATACTCATTTCTCAAAAAAGAAGAAAAAGAAGAATTATCACAATAGTTAAAAGAAGACGGCTAATAAATTCAGAGATGCAGGGGGAGAAAAAAAATCTACAGGTACTCAGTTTCCAGTATTCAAATTTTTTTCATGGAAATTTGATAGCCAGGCTTCTGTTTAAGACCACTAAAACTTTTTTTTCAGTAAGAAAAACATACATACTATACCCACCCTTAATCCACAGTTACTACTGACTACCACTGACATGCTATCAGTATTTAGATTCAGATTTCCATTCTTCCATTAAGAAAAAATGTAAAAAGAGAAGTCAATTCAGAACATGTAGACATTTCCATAAAATATTCTCATTGATTTTAATGCATGTTAGTATATATTCTCCTCAGAGTTCCTAGTAATAATAATAGTAAGCCTAGTTTCTTTTATGGATTTTGGAAATCAGTTTTACAGTCAAACAAATATAAAATGATTCATTTTTTTCCTAACCTATCCTTTAAAATTTCTTGATGTTTAAATCTAGTAACTAAGGAAAATACAATCTCAGTTACATGAATTTTCACATTCTCTTTGTTTTCTTTCATTTATAGATACATACATTCTAACACTGACACTA